TGTTTAAATTGGGAACGATGCAAGGAGAAAAATGACGGCAGTACAGGGTGAGGGGCGAAAAGTTTCGGTTTATTGGCTCAATTTGGATTTTGATTCGACGGGGGCTTAAACCCCCCCCCAAACAGGAGTAACCCCCCCCCGCCCCGCCCCCCCCCCCCCCATATTGCTTCGCTCAATGTCTCGGTCACTTTTATGTTAGCGTACTTGGCCTGTAATTGCAACATTCATTGACAGCAGCTAGATAGTGATATGGGTCTGTACAAGGCAGGAACTTCCGTCTGTCTTGAACTGGACGGTCCCATCAAATCGTTTGCGGGAAGACTATCAAGAGATGGTACAGGGGAGGTGTCTTGCAAATGGGAATACCGACTGGCTTTCCTGTGCACTGTCTTGCGCAGGACAATCAAATTTACTTATCAAAACAGGATGATCACAACCATATTCGGCCTCATGGGCTATTGACTCAGAGCCCAATCGGCCTCGAGGAATAATTGTTAATTAGCTGCCAAAGAATGACAAGGAAAATACCTTTTGTAACTCATTGTTTTTCCTAAGATAATCCTGTTTTTGTTTTCCTTTTTCGGGGGTGGGGGTTGTTTGTTTGTCTGTTTTTATCTAAAGGAAAAGATATTGTTTCATGGGAATCATTAAACTCATGTCTGGAGTTCTTTAAAAATGTTTCCTTTATCTGTGGAATTCAAGAAGTCAGCAGCGTTAGCCTCCATACATGCGTTGTAACCTTCACAATGATACGCCCTGAACATGCGAGGTGTGAAAAATTGGTTCGCCGTGATGTGCTGTGGGAATGCCCCGCACATCGCATTTGAAACACTTTTTAAAGAGTACGAGCCATGACAACTTTCACAGCAGCAAAAAGTTAAACTTTCAACTTCCTCTGCGTCTTGTTGAGGGCCAATTCCCCATTTCCCGGCTTCCAGATCAACGTTTATGTCATGCAATGCTCCCTTCCAAGTCACAGGTGTCTGATCTTGCTTGATGCCTCTGTCGGGATGCCTTGGGCAAAGAAGTAGAATTTCTCCTTCACCAGCTTTAATTCCTTGTTCGAAAATGGACTTCTTTTTGTAGTAATGAACCTTAAATCTAAAAAAATACAAATTATGCAAATATAATAATGTTCATCACATCAATGAGTATTTCATATTATTCTTTTTACCTATAATAATATATTGTTTATAAAAGCTTTGAATGCAATAAACGTTACTTTCCCGATTAATACAGAATAAAATCCATGCAAAGAATAACACTTCAAAAGCTACAGACCTGTAACTTCTTGGTTGGTGAAGTCGTGGCGTGTTAACAAATTTTTCTTTGACATCCTCTATGACGTCACGGCCGTCTAGACCAATGAAAGAGCAGTGTAGCTTTTCTCGAGCCAATGACAACGCCTTCAGCAAATCTTTTGCCCAATGGCCGTCCTCACTTTTGTGACCACCATCTGCGACAACAATCTTCCTCAATCGCTTTTTCAAAAGTGGCAAAATGCCCAAATTTTCAATATGGCCACCATCGCTTAGCCTCAAAATAGGAGGAGGTGCTGGACCCATATTGCTTACATACAGCAACTGTCGCATAAAACGAACGAATGGCACGTGAACAACGAACCACCTGAAGAGGGGAATGCATCGTGAGGACCTCATAATGCTATATATTTAGGTCAATCTACCATTTTTTTATTCACGATTAAAACTATAAAAATGGTGTGAATGCGACGCTATGAAAGGTATACTTTTGCGATTTTAACAAAGAGAAGGACACATCACATTTTAATTAACCGAATGAAATATGACCTTCTCATTCACAGCAGTCTACAGATGTTTTGTCCATTTCTTTTTTTTTTTTTCTCATTTTCAACATAGTTAATTGAGTGGAATGGTTATGAAACCCGTCAGACTCCTTTGTTATATGTTTTTGTGGACCTGAAAGTGCACAACGTTCAAAAGAACTCCTATCATTTTGATTGTATTGACCAATAAAAACGTTGCATTAATTTATTCCGTAACAATTTGCCAACAGAAAACAAAGGATTGTGCACTTTCAGGGTGCTTCCAACATAAACTGCAGCACTGTTGTTTTTATCATTGATGTTTGCCGCTTTTCATAACCAGTCTCCTCTAATAACTATGTTTTCAAGAATTGATCAAGACCAGCGAATTAAAAACTGCTAGGGTGAACGCTATTCCCTTAATCACAATAGCTAGAATACTGATGCATTTTTCTGTTTAAGCTAAGAGGCCAAGTTTAACTAGAATGATTTCGAAAAATCCACATAGCTTCCAGAGGGTAAGGCGAAAATTTCATGGCTAATTCTGATTTTTAATTGAATTGTTGGTGGACTTTGGCTGTTCGTTTAATTTGGAAAGCGTCGAAGTCTGTACGTACCCATAAATTTATACAATTTCATACAAGGTAAAAAAAGTACTCCCATTTTCTCACCTCGTTACTTTCTCCAGTACTGTGGGGTTTTTCCTTCCAGTCTTCAGCGTAGAGATGATCATCAGCACAAACAGCATGGCAAAAAATATGAGTACTCCTACGGCCACCCACTTTTCGTCTTCCATTTGTTCTCCTCCTGCAAAGTACACTAGTGGAAAGCTAGCTAATGGGAGGACACGAATTGCCTCTATAACATAAGGAAGCGCCTGAAAAGAAAAATGGACATTTTGTGAGCCCTTTGGGATGTTCAAAGAAAGAGTATGTACTACTCACCGAATTAAAATGAGCTCAGATATGATGACGCTTGCGGGTTTAGGTATATAGAAGGGCCGCAGTGATTTCTCGTGTTAAAATTAATCAATGGGTGAACATGAATCACCTTTATGACATAAAAGAGTGCCCGTTTTTTATCCGGCTTTCAAGGTTTTAGCTTAAGCAATTTCTTTTTTATCAAGGTCTTAGTCTTCAGGGAACAGTAAATTTCTCAGGACGAATCAGTTCGATTTGTATTGACGAGGACCTTTTGCACCCCTTACGAGTCATAAATAATTGAAACGTCACCCGGTCAGATTTTCCACACTGTTTAAAAAAAGGGAAATGTCCACCCCCGGTGGGAGTCGAACCCACAACCTTTGAATTAGAAGTCCAACGCGCTAGTCCATTGCGCCACGGGGGCTTTGCATACTAGCATTAGCTAATTTACAATTGAGAAGAGTAAACAAAAGATAAGTTTTGTGGAAATTAATCTAACGAGGACAGTATTTCTTTTACCGGTTTTAAAAATTGTCAGCAAATACTGGGTAAATACTAATAATAACAATAATGGTGATGATGATGATGATGATGATAACAATGGCCTGATACTGTCGGGATCAAAATATGCAGAAATACAAACAAAGCTTCAAGTATTTTAAAGTAAAGCACTTACCCTAAGGGCACCACTCTCTCTTTTCAGCGCCTCGTTGTCAGACACCATGGAAGAGCCCATACCCAGTCCTAACACGGTCTGTAACTGCTTGAAGCCTTCAGCTGACTGATCGTAAGCACCCATGTGACGTGCAACAGCTGCGGCAGACGTTGCCATGGCAGCTGATAGGTCGATATCTCCCGGATCGAGCTTGTTTTCAAACTGTTCCTGTCCTTCAGGCCGATCAAGACGTTCTATTTTAGTCGGGGACATAATAAGAAGCTCGTATTTTTCTTGATAGTCGTCAGTTTCGTTTATGATCCATTCATTGACTACTATGTTTGATAAATACTCCGGCTTAATTCCCTTCAAGTCTCGGAGGGTCAATGGTCCAAAGTCATTCAGCCTGTTGCGATGCGATGTTGACCTGTTTGTCAGGAGGAAAATATCTTCTATGCCTATTCCTCTACACCCTGATATACCAACACTGGCATGTGTGTAAAATGCTGATTGTAATCTCCATCTTTAAAAAGCAAAAGAAAGTACAGTTTTAAAGCGGACATATTGCATTAAAATTAAAAACCTAAGTTGTCCTTGGTGTCTACAAAGTAATAAATGTATAATTTACTTCAAGCAATAAGCTTGTAACCATTACAAAGAAATCCACTTGGAGTTGAGCCTGTGATCAGTGGAAAACTGGTAACGCGTCTGCCTCAGTGCTTAACTTCAAAATCAAAAATGCATACTCGATCGGACCACAAATGAGCCCGCGATACGGTCATGTGGTGATGGTCAGCGGATACCCTGGTTTGACAGCTGTCTATTGACCACAACATGGATATAAATTATAAGTGTGCAGGCTCCCACACCAGATAGAAAGTGTAAGATTTCACATTGGTTGCCACGTAGTGCTGACGGACGGATGTCACATGACTACCAAAACTTCTCGGATGGATAGGTAACCAAATTGTCTTAGCTATGGGGCTCTAATATTTCATGTATCATTATTACCTGTTAAAGACATACACCAGTCGTTGCTGTATTGCTCCTAACGCAGGCACGATCCATAAAATGATGCCAGAGGCAAACAGGAGGCGAAAGAAGAGGTAATCAGAATAGGTTATGCCAAACAATGTTGATTGATACACCTTCCAATATACTGCATAGGAATACAAATACACAACTACGACAAAAGAGGACTTGCGTCTTAGCACTGGAAAAAAGAGCCACGCCACAATGCTTAACATAAATACCAAAAGCCGTGTCCAAAACGGTGTGCGATCGAAGAAGTAGAAAATGAAAAAAGGAATATAGGTGAAAGCAAAAAGGAGACCGCAAAAGGAGGACAAAAAGTACAAAACCGAACGGAACCGTTGCACTTTTTTGGAAAGCAAGTAGAGAGAGACAAATAATGTTATAAGAGTAGCGAACATGACAATTCGAGTGTAAGCTTCTGAGCCCACAGTAATCATACAGCGGTCACCTCGCGGTTCAGTGCCGGTAACATTCTCTTTAACGTTTTCCGTGTTGTTATCTGGTAAGCTAAAAATGACGCGGGGTTGCCTTTGATCATGTGGAACTGAATCGCATTCATCATCAGCTTTCAGGATATCTCCAAAAAGATAATCAACCATGTATACAAGCGGAAAAAGATAGGAGCCCCACACAATTAGTGGCATTATAGCAGAGACCAGCAGCATTAGAGAGAGAAGAACCACGGTATCAAAGATTCCTCTGAAAGGCCTCTGCCAGTTACACATCAACCCTGCATTTTCTCTCATGTGGTCGAAGAATTCCTGATGCCATTTTGGATCGTCCTTCTTGCCATTCCTATATTTCCAATCCAGGTAGGCTGTGCCTGTGTAACCGCCCCCTGACACGCAGCTCAGGTAGTCAATCTTGCAGTTTCGTTGTAAGAGACTGCGCAGAACACCTGAGCAGAATGCCGCTGACCGGATACCTCCCCCGGAAAACGCAAGGCCTGTTTCAGACATGCTGAAAAGAGAATATGTCTGAAAAGTAAATAACACCAAAATATTCCTTTGAATAGCAAGTCTTTTGAACACTCTGTGTCGATTTTTCCAACACAAATAACGGTACCCACTCAGTCCCTCGGTATTTACAGTTTTCTGTCTCTCCCGATGGTTAGGTTCTCTTTGTTGCGAATGGTTTTTCATATTTTCACGTACGACCATGGTTAACTATGGCAATGATATGATAATACCATGAGTAAACATATTTGGCAAACCATTAACCGCAGGTTTAAGACGGGTTGATTTTTGCCACTTTAAGTTACAACCGGTAAAAATAATAAAACACTACTGACAGTAAAGTTACGTTGAGCACCCATTTATTCACCTAAAAAACACACAGAGGCTGCAACGATGTGACACGGTTAATTAACCTTGACTGGCCACAGTTAACTTAAGTGACTGATGCAAAGCATCAATCAAAGCTTAAACAGGCTTGGGTTTAAATATTAAGTTAAGAAAAAAGGAGTATACAGATCAAAGTCATACAGCGACTGCAAAATTGAATGGCTTCGTATTGCGGGCAGAATTTGAAGCTTTAAATAAATATCAGTCATACAGTAGCAATGCCACAACTCATCTTGACGGACACTTCGTGTCACTAGATAACTAGAAATGTAATGAAACATCAAGAAAGATAGTATTTTTGTTTACGACTCTGAGACAAAATATTGTTCATAGTAACGAATGGCGTACTGAGTTTTAAACGTAACATATCCAGTCATTTCCTCACATTTCCTAGCCCCGTCAAGACTACTGGCCTATTGGTACTTAAGTACTACATTGACTTAATGGCAATTTTTTGGGTTTCAATAAAAAATTAACTCAGTAAATGTCAGTCAAGCTCACCTTTCCGAACCAAAGGCTTAAGGGTACTTTCTATAACGTAGCTGTGACTTCGTTACAGGCACACGATAAACCTGGCTAATGCAGACAGGCCTGGGATATCCGGCAATCTCCAGGTAGAGCAAGAAAGTAAAACGGGAGTGACAATTAAGACTGTTTCTTAAGAAGATATGATATGGTACGCTATGATGAGTTTCCAGCACAAAGCAAAATAATAGCTGTCAAATTCTTTGCACGACAACTGATCACCCAGGCTACCTATGACTAATCACCGTAGCCGTGTCGAGGCAACGTCCAAAGATGCCAGGAAAATGTACGTGCACTGTCTAAACAATGTGATTTATATTCTGACGACATAATGATAATCGTAGTAAAGCTAAGGGAAATATCATATACACAAACGAGATTAAGTAAAAAAAAGGCTTCATATAGTGTGTGATCTTTGACAAAGCCTTGACAAATGTGAAGTCTACGTACTTTATATCTTAATGGAGAGGATTTTATTGCATAGAAAGTGAATTTCTTTAAATATAATAAGTATCCGCTAAGATAAATTCTCAAACTCATTAATAACTCATAAAGAAAATACAAAGGAAATTGATGTTTAATGAGTGTTTGGAAATCGGTTGAAAAACTGCTCATTTTTGCATCCTTAAATTTAGTATTCGACACCTCCAAGTTCGTCAAAAATACTGCGCGTCGTATTTTCAACTCTCTTCTCAGTGTTGCATCTCATGCTTGATATATTATCTGAATGCTCGTTAGCTATAAATGTATTCAGTTTTGATTATTTCCTAACACAGCACTTGCCAGGCTGATTAGGTGTTAATTTAAGCTTAAACAATATTTGCAATGACGAGCAAAAACTAGCGAGATAATAGGAGATCTTGATCAACTATTAAGTCTGCCTTCCCCGTATAAAGGTTATGTTTAAAGAAAAGTACTCTTATTCTGTATGAGACGGTTCTTTCTAATTCTTTCCTTTTTTCCCTTTTCCCTTTTTCACATGTTCGTGCACCGCACTGATTTATCGCTATCCAGTTCCTGTTTTATGTTGTCAGCTCAGTTGTGATTGTCAACTCTACTTCTTGAACTGCACCTAAAAACTCAGCGGCATCAGCTTCCAGGCATGCGTTGTATCCTTCAGAATGGTATGCTTTGAACAAACGTGGTGTAAAAAACTGGTTCGCCGTGATGTGTTGTGGAAAGGCCCCGCACATCGCTTCCGACAGCCCTTGTAATGAACTGCCATGGCAACGCTCACAGCAGCAAAAGGTTAAGCTGTCAACGTCCTCAGCGTCTTGCTGCGGACCAATTCCCCATTTGCCTTCTTCGAGATCAACATCGATGTCACGCAACGCTTCTTTCCATGTCACGCGTTCCTGCTTTTTTACTCCTTTTTTCGGATGTCTTGGAGAGATTAGAAGAACTTCTCCTTCGCCTACTTTGATTGCCTCTTCAAAAATGGACTTCTTTTCGTAGTAGTGAACCTTGAATCTACAAAAACGTACCAGTGGGTTAAAAGTAGTCGATACATATATTATTTGCAAGCAAGAGCTAGCTCGAAGCTAGCAAAGAATTAGAGATACGTTTATTTGTGCTGACTGAAATACTGCCACTGTGAAGCTTTGCATAATACTTTGGAAGCTCTCCTAACGGACACTCTCGTAAGCGGACAGTTCTACTTACGGCCACCTTCACAAAACCCCGTTTTTCTCAACTCCCATACAAACTCAGTATTTTGACATTCCCATAAGCGGCCAGCTCCAGTTACAGACACCTTTTTCGCGACTCGAGGGTATCCGCCGTCCCGAGGATGTCCGCCGTCCCGAGGGTGTCCGGCCGTCACGACAGCTTCCACTGTATAAGTTAATAAAATCACCAGTGACTAACGTTTCTCTTATGGCGCCTCAATAACAAGAGCTAGATTAGTAACAGAGCAAACGGGTTTATTATTTGACGATTTTACAATACACGATGACAGAAGGATTGATAAGCGGCTCAAGACAACCGTAAATGTCATAAATGAGTTCTTTGTAACAAAGCTAAGACATTTCTTGTTACCATAGTTTGAAACAACTCTTTGGGTTCCTCCAGCGTATGTCAGTGACAATCCACTATCAACCTTGTCAGCTTTGTTTTCCACTCCCAAAGCGAATTAATACGGAACACAACGATTGAAAGACCATTGGTATTGTTTCGATAAAACACCCGGGACACTGTATAAACGCTTAGTATGAAAGAAACTGTAATAATTGGGGAAAATACACTGCTGTCGTTGTTATAAGTAGAATTTCTCAGCCTTCACAACTTCTGAGCTAATTTAGTCTGATAATACATCCACCGCTAGTGCGTCACGGGAGATTCGCCTCAAAAATTCCACGCCGACGCGGATGTAAATCAGTCCAAATTTAGGTCACGTTATTAATTGCACTCTTTAGGCTATTGTTTATGAATGAGAAACAGAACACAAACATCACAACGATTACTTGCACAGCGTGCTGAATATAAAAACAAAAATCATTCCCTTGTAAATATTTGAGTTTTGCTGGCCCCTTATTATAGATGTATAAACGTTGACTTGCGTCATCAGTATGAAACTTTTGTGGCGAATCTCGCGAAACGTCCCCAGCGACGGAGAGCGGCCCGTGTATTCACATTTTACAGCTAATGGAGCTTACAAAAAACTTTACTGACCTATAGTTTCTTGGCTGGTGACCCTGTGGCTGATAAACGAATTTTTCTTTGACATCCTCTATGACGTCACGGCCGTCGATACCGATAAAAGAGCAATGAAGTTTCTCGCGAGCCAGTGTTAAGGCTTTAAGCAGACTTTCCCCCCATTCACCATCTTTGTTTTTGTGACCACCATCTGCGACAACAATCTTCTTCAATCGCTTCTTCAACAGAGGCAAAATGGCAAGATTTTCAATATGGCCGCCATCACTGAGCCTCAATACGGGAGGGGGCATGGGACCTTCGTTACTAACATAGAAAAGTTGCCTCATAAATCGAACAAACGGCACGTGAGCAATGAGCCAACTAAAAAGGAAAGGAAAAAGATGACATGTGTTGAAATTTCTTTCCAATAGCGCGCGCTCTCCATAGTCACTTTGAAGTCACATGACATCTAACAATAAAATTGTTTCCCGCAAAATCTCCGAGGGGGCAACATTGCAAAATCTATTGACGTCAGAAGGTAACAGTCATTAAGTGTTTACTGGGGAGCTTATAGTTAAGCAACGACGTTTTTGAGCAACACAAGTCGATCAGAAGTGGACTTGTTTCATTCTTGGGCAAGTTTCAAGCTTTCAAGTTGATTCGCTTTTAGCTATCTAGAACCTGCATGGCTATCACCCATTACACCTACGTTCGACTCCACCATTGATTAAAATTAGTCGAAGGGACGGTTGAGAATTTGCCAAGACAATGTTCCAATCTCTCCTGTTGGATACGAGATTGGTTATAGCCAACTCGTTTCCGTCAGGGACGAATGGGATATTAACTCTTAAGTATATGGGCAAACACTGTGTTCGTTTATTGGGAGAATTCATAGTGACACCATTAGCTCATTACAGAGTAAAAATATGCCCACAAAAGGCGTCTTAATTAATCTAGGCTATGAGTTATGATTGTTAGACGGCTGAGACGGGAACTACCGTTTAAAGCACTTATTCAAAAAGACTAGGAAGTCTAGCCGTTTGCAACACTAACATAATTATTGCAAAGACAGCACCTTATTTCTTCTAAGTTTACGTTAGCCCGCTAGGGTTTCGGCCGCGGCCTTCCCAACTTCTCATCCAGTACAGATGTAATTGTCTATTATCAGATTCGCTAGAGTCATATATGGCTTGAACACGTAGTGAACACTCATTCAAATCAGCCACACTTATTAGCTTACACGAATCAAATACTCACCTCGTGAGTTTTTCCACAGTTCCAGGGTTTTCGCTTCCCGTCTTGAGCGTAGAAATAAGAATCATAATCAGCAAAAGGACAAAAAATACCAACACCCCGATGGCGACCCACTTTTCGTCTTCCTCCTTCTCCCCCCTGACAAAGTATACCAATGGAAAGGTCACCAGAGGGAGGACTCGAATTGCTTCTATTACAGATGGAAGCAGCTGTAAAACATAAAGGCAAACAATGACTGTGGAAACAATTAAATATTTTTATTTTGTTCTGCTTTGTTTTGCTTTGCTTGTTTGTTTGTTTGGTTGTTTTTTTCACCGTCCAAAATAATAAAAACGTTCTGGTAACCTAAGTGTTAATACATAGTACGAAAAGGAATATGCCAGTTGTGAGAAGCTTACCCTAAGAAAGCAGCTCTCTCTTTTTAAAGCCTCGTTGTCAGACACCAAACTACTTCCCATGCCCAGTCCTAACACGGTTTGTAGCTGTTTTAAACCTACGGTTGCATCATCATAGGACCCCATGTTCCTTGCAACAGCAGCGGCTGACGTTGCCATGGCAGCTGACAGGTCGATATCTCCCGGATCGAGCTTGTTTTCAAACTGTTCCTGTCCTTCAGGCCGATCTAAACGTTCTATTTCAGTTGGGGACATAATAAGAAGCTCGTATTTGCGTTGATCGTCTTCATTCTCGTTTATTATCCACTCGTTGACCACGATATTTGAAAGATACTGCGGCTTAATTCCCTCTAAATCTCGTAAGCTCAGCGGTCCAAACTCATTTTCGCTCAGCGCCTCGTGATCTGATGCTGACCTGCACGTGATAAGGAAGATATCCTCGATGCCGATTCCTCTGCAGCCTGTTTTACCAACACTTGCGTGAGTATAAAATGCTGACTGAAGTCTCCACCTGAAATTAAAACATTTATAGGTTTATAAGCTAACGCAGAGGCTCTCCTAGCAAATGGACACTCTCGTCTGAAGCGGACAGCTCTACTTAAGCCCGGACTCACAAAGGCCTCATTTTTTCTAAATTTCCATACAAACTCTGTATTTTGACATTTCCTTAAAAGACCAGCTCCAGTTACAAACACCTTTTTCGCGACCTGAGGGTATCCGCCGTCCCGAGGGTGTCCGCTCACGACAAGCTTCAACTGTAGCTTTCATTGCCGCCTGAAAACAGGCTCGGCATTGGGGGAAGAAGGAGAAAAAAATCGGCGTGAGAGGTAGTCTGGGCAGGGGGAAGCGCTCGGCAATATTTTTCCTCCACTGCGGAGCCTAGTCCCAGGCTTCTTCTATTGGGTAAACAAAAAATCAATAACATTTGCCCCTTTCATTGAATAGTAATAATTAGAAATCAGTGAATCCGGCTTTTGTGTTATATATATGATATATGAAGTATAATACCATCTTCGATCTGTATAATTCTTCACATCGCACGAAAGCCGAACCCAATTATTATTGTTTTTTAAATTCATTCAAACTTTAAAACTAAACTGAAAACCTGCTTACTTCTCGAGTTCGGAAAGAATGTTTATTCTAGTGGGCTTTGTTCAAATAGTAGTTTTCAACCGTTGAGTGGTATTTTCGCTGTTTCTGCTATTCGGCTATTTCTTCTTCAAATACCATGTGATTTTCCGCCATTTTCTCTAGTCTAGCAAAACAGCTGAGCTACAGCGCCTTCTTCTGCCCCTTTTTCTGTCGGTATCTGTGAAAGTTGACGTCAATAGCCTATGCACGTTCGATATGACTCCGAGGCTCCGAGACAAAACTGCACACTTTTCACGACTCTGTTGTCTTGCAATTTCCAGAAGAGACTTGAGCACAAAGAAATCCAAACCAAATATAGAAAAATGAGCAGACAGCCTCGGAGTCATGTTAGAATTTTAATACATCGAACGTGGGCTATTATACTGATATCAGCAAACTGTGACGTCTTCCGAATTTGGTCAAAGGTATCTATCTGATTATGAAGAATTAGCCAGAGGCTTGAGATGATAAAAAACGGAGAAATATTTTGAAGAACTAATGACTATTGCTAAAGATCTCAAGGAAAATGAAAAACCAGGTGTACAATTTTAAAAGACTGCCGTCTAACTAACCACACTGTGTTTACCTAACTAAATCGTCAATGATTATAGAACAAGTCATATAGAATGACTCACTCAGTAAAATAGAAGGCAACCTAGTCAAGTGGTTAGAGCAACCCGGAGGTCTCGAGGTTCAGCCCTGCCCTGATCGCCAACTGGATCTGTTCAAAGTATGGAAATTACTAGCAAGAATTACGCACCAATTACAAGCTATTTACCTGTTAAAGACGTATACAAGTCGCTGCTGAAGCGCTCCTAAAGCAGGCACGATCCATAACACGAATCCTGAGCCAAACAGGAGGCGATAGTAAAGGGAATCGGAATAATCCAAATTAAACACGCTTAATTCGTAAACTTTCCAGTATATCGCGTACGAATACCAATACACGATAACAACCAAGGAAGACCTACTCCTGAGAACCGGAAAGAAGATCCACACCACAATACTTAGAAGAAAGACGAGAGACTGCAGAAAATTCGAGGTGCGATCAAAAAAATAGTAAATAAAATAGGGAATAAATGTGAAAGCAAACAGAAGGCCACAAAAAGATGACACAAAGTAAAACACACCCCGAAACCTTCGAACTTTCTTTGCCAGAAAGTAGAAAATGATAAATAGGGCCATAAGTGAAGCAAACATAGCGACTCTGTTATAAGCTTCGGAGCCTGCTTCGAGCCTGCAGGGTTTTGGTGGCTTTTTTCCAGCTGGGCGACGCTTGGGAGGTGGAACGACGGCTGTAGAATTACGATCACATTCATCCTCTGCACGGAGGAGATCGCCAAAGAGATAATCCACCACGTACGTCAGTGGTATGAGGTAAGAACCCCACACAATGATGGGCATTATGACGCAAACTAGTATCATCAGCGATAGCAGTATCACTGTGTCTAAAATTCCTTTGAAGGGTTTCTGCCAGTTGCACATCAGCCCTGCATTTTCTCTCATGTAGTCGAAGAATTCCTGATGCCATTTTGGATCGTCCTTCTTGCCATTCCGATATTTCCAATCCAGGTAGGCTGTGCCTGTGTAACCGCCCCCTGACACGCAACTCAGGTAGTCAATCTTAGTTTTGCGTTGTAAGAGCCTGCGCAGAACCCCTGAGCAGAATGCCGCTGACCGTATACCACCACCAGAGAATGCAACTCCTGTCTCAGCCATTTCTGAAGCTAGTAGGTTAAAATATAAACGCAAAAATAAAGTTAAAATATGTTTTAAGGCTGTCCCTAGGAGCACAAGGTCACAGTTATGACAATAAATCGAAAATGTCAATGAAAAATTAAAAGAACGAGATAAAAATGAGACATCAATTCAATAAAGCTCTACGCTTGCTAGAATTGAATTTAAAAGAACACAAAAAGCGGTAATAATCAACTTAGTCACTTAACGTTTCGTAAGCTAGTCAACATACATTTGCAAAAGGGACTGTTACAATTTTAGATTGTTGCCCTTAATCCAAGTTCCGTATTGTTGTCGATAAAAAATGTAACGGACAGAAAATTCTTAAAATTAATCAAGTACTGCTGCACGAATAGAGTCCTTTCGTACACCCAGTTTCAAACTCCTCATCCTTTGGAACAGCATTTTGTCAGAAGTCAGTCAAATTCCCCCCTTTAATTCCTCAAGAAAGAAAACTTCTAAATGTATGCATGTTTTAAAGGATGTTTACCAAACATTAATATTTCTGATGGCAGAACTCGGCTGTCTTTGCACCTTGATGTGCCGGCTCCTCGAAGATAAAGAAAGGAAAGGTCGTTTTGTTACCTTGTCGGCTAAGGCCTTAATGTTTAAGGCTCTTTTCGATTCGTAGACTCGAAGACTATTGTAGAGGAGCCGATCGATCTTAGGCATGCAAGTGCACAAAAGGTTGAAATTGTGCCGTGATCTGTTGTTAAATTTAATTGTGACAAAAAGAAACTGTTAATTATGTAAAATGTTCATTGCCACACTTAGGTGAATTTTCTTTGTTTGCTAAACATACCATAAAATTTCCCGAAGATGAACTTCCTTTACGCAGGATTTTGTATACTAGTCATTCAAATGTAACTACCGTATCTGTATTACATTCGACGCGACAAGAAAATTGGAAAAGTTAGAACACGATCTGAGTGGTTCGACCGTCCTGTCGGTCGGTAGACATGTTGTGGTCTACGAAATGCGGACTAAAACGCGGACTCGCTATTTATATCATACTATAAGTATAAGAGACAACAAAGGAAAAATGTGATTGCCAAACGTAGATTGTTTAAAGTTTACCATTCAAATTCAAAAGGCTGTAAAAATTTTGGATGGGAAAACTGGTGCAATATCCGTTGACGTAAAAGAATTCCTCTTTACAACTTCCGGAGGGTGTCCTGTAGGTTTTGTGGAAAGAATGAAAATGCACGTCCAAACACAGTGCATCTCAATCAATCAAATACAAACTTCCTTTAATTTGTTTTATTATTATTATTATGATTATTATTATTATTATTATATAGATACTGATGAAATACCAGGATTTTTCCTTTTACTAAAAAATCAAATCTTCATCGCGCGCAGTGAAGATACTATTTTTATCTTTCATGTGTGAGGATATTGGTGTCGCCATGGAATTTTTCTCTTCTTCATTAGAATTTTGACTTTTTGGAACAGAAAATATAAGTATTATTGTCGTTATTTCTCTTTAATAACTTTATATCCGGGTTTCATCATATTTTTGTGACGGGCATTTTGCGATAGGTGACCACTTCAATTGCACTACTTTGCTGTTTCGAAAATGAATAAAAAAAAGTTGTGTTTTATGTAGGAATTTCATCGGTATCTATAAAATAATTCGCAAACGCGTGAGAGATACTTTCAGCACTCGAAGATAAAATAAAATAAAAAAAAAGTGTCCGTAGTTCAGTGCGTTGAAATTATAGAGAATCTAATGGCTTTCTTTCCCCAGCGACAATGCAAGCTGCCTGTAATAATGAGGCGCCCGTACTACGCGAGTGTCGGTAAAGCGGGGTTTTATTGTGCATGTATTTTTAGCTTCAAGGGGGCGCTAATTCTAACCGTGATGCTTATTCAAATCAAGACGTTTTAAGATCATTTGCGTCCCTTTACCTAGTCTGCGTTTTAAAACAGGTCCCCAGCTCTTATATAGCGCCCGGTCCGGAGTAGGCAGCCGTGTAGTCCGCAGTCCAAAGTTCCAATTGTACTGTCCGGCTGTGTCGTTCACGTACAACATGGGTGGAACAAATTGTTGGTTTTCACATGACGCCACTAAAATTCAAACTACAAAACTGTCGATAGAACCGATATTTTACGTTCACGATGTATTAGAGCAGCTGAAAACTAGTTTCATATAAATTTTCGCCTCAAAAGGGTTCTTGGTTTTGTGATAGAGTACGCTTGAATTTCTAAGCTTTTGCGTGACGGGGCAAGAGAGCTGTCATGTAGGTTAAAGAAATTACTTATTTCAGGGAATTTTCACTCTCTAAACAGTTCATGTATTAGAAAAAGTATTACTTTAATGTTTATGAGTTCCTAAAAGAATAAATTCACGCATTTGTAGCAAAACTCGGTAACAGATGTTTCTGTTGGTTTCCGTCCGCCATGTTGGTGCACATCCGGATGCACACCAGCATGGCGTCTTCATACAAATCTCTATTAATTTTGTGAAAACATTTCTTTGGATATCTCGCATACGAAATACTCCTCTGACCTGAATCTTAGCGAGGGTCTTTGCTTATTTACCTCCTTTCATTTCCCAGATTCTGAACTTTATCTATTGAACGGTTTTGATTTTTTGAATGGCGTGACACTGAAAACCAGCAATGAATTTAATTCAAGTCATTGTATATAGGCCCTTTTGTTAAAATGCGCGTCTCAAGCTATCTCACAGCCCTCAAGTTTGAAAATATCTTGCACCTATCTTGAAAATAAAATATACTAATATTCCACAGATCCTGTTTTTGCATGGATATTCTAAACTGACACTACAGCGAAACTCCCAAAATTTTCGACTCGATCCATGAAGGCGCTCGGTGATCGTAGTGCATAACAGCAACCACGCTTGTCAATCAGAAACTACAATATAAACACCACCTCAAAAGGTCGAGTCGCAGACAAAAAGCGTAGGAAAGCTTATGAAACACTTCATTTTAATGACGTGCCCCCGATGTAATAAAACATGTAACGTTAGTTAGTACATAATAAATAATCTCAGCACGCATGTGAAGACAAACTGCACCTCACTTGTGGCATCTCCAAGTGTTGTTTCCGTTGACCTTAATACAGTTCGTCTTGCCTTTGTGGTCTTACAAGGGGTCAGGGCCAGTGATGAACAATTTAGCGGGGACAAGAACTGTCGATATGTGCAGCTTGTTCGAATTTTTCAGCTGAAAAAGTGTTATGAACGGACGATCGGGCAATTAAATTCTACAAATATCTGCACGCGTTTGTTCTCCTCGGTCGCCTAATCTATTCTGTAATCTTCTTGAAATTGCCTGTATTCTCGTGCATTTCTCTCAGCAGGATCCCCAGCAATTTGCAGCTTTTAGCAATGTAACGAGTGGAGCTGGTTCTGTTTGCAAGGTATGTACTGACTTGATTTAATGCTTTTAATTAATAATGCAAAAAAATCTTTTTTGTGTTATCAGAAATATTAAAAAAATATAGCAATCTGAACCTACCTTTTCGTCTTTTCGACTGATCCTCTTTGTCAGGGCTTAGAAAGAAATAGTTCGCCTTTATGGACAACCAACCGTTTGTTCAACTGTATCACGGAATGAAATAAATTGGTGTGTGCGTGCAATGGTCTTATAAAGACCGATACGTGGGTAGCTGCAGATTAACATACCAAATAGTATCACGTTCCGTGCATGACAAATACTGAATTAGTAGAGCATTAATCAATCAACCGTGAAAACAATTGAAAAAGGTAAATAATTTTATATTGGTTTAGCCTGAGTATCAGGCGTTTGTTGGGGGAAAGGGGAAGGAGGGCCCCATCTAAAATCTCCTCTCCTCTAGCTCCTTTGGAAGGCCTGATACTCAGGCAAATATTGGTTTGTTTACGCCCATGGTCACGGGTAGCCTGAGATCATGCCCTCTCCCTATTATCCCTTTATGTCTCTCACGGGTTGAGGGCGTGATTTTTTTTCCCTCTCGAGCCATAGAAGCAAAGAAGCAAAAAAAAAAAAAGCCTGATCTCAGGTTAGGTCACGGGGCGTGCCACAGGCAGACTGTGGCCGTTGTTGTCATTGAGATCTGAGCAATTAGCAAATATCTGAGCTTAGCCTGCACACAGACGTGTTTTTCTTTTCGCTCTTTTCGAACACATTGACGAGCGCCAGAACCACCCATACCTCCCTGGGCTGGTGGTCAATAAATCCCCCGCAATGTTTTTTTAATCACGCGCGCTCGACGGACTTTGAAGTGGAAATAGAGGGTCTGTGAACAGGCTAATCATACAGATGAACATTACGGTGGCCATAATTTATTCCAAAATAAAGATTTGAACCAAAATTTTCAAGCGAAGTTTCAAGCGAAATGTTGATCTGTTATGTTTTTTGCCTTCCCGATCCCGAGCTGTTTAAAGCGACATGTTTAACTGGGAGTTTAGAAGTATAAAATGTCTAGATAGCAGCAACAATATAGATAGTCGTATAAACATAACAACTTTCTTTAATTTTCCAGACATGTTTCGACGGTACATCCGTCATCTTCCGTGTTACATATTTTGAAATCGCCGATGAATTTAAAGCGCGGGCGATCTTACAAAGTTCGTTACATTGCGTTGTCAGTATTGCGTACTAAAACAAAGTTAAATGAGGGACGCTTAGTTCTTTATAGGGGGATAGTCATGGTAAGGTGTTTGATCTGCTGGGTATTACAAAGTTCGTTACATTGCGTTGTCAATATTGCGTACTAAAACAAAGTTAAATGAGTGACGCTTAGTTCTTTACAGGGAGAGAGTCAGGTTAATGTGTTTCACCTGCTGCTGGTTGAGATCGGGCTTCTCCCATTTTATAAACATGGATTCCTTAAGCTCCACTTGGACTCCTGGACTCCTGGACTCCTGGACTCTGCAGCCACTAAGTACCAACATGTCTGGAAAATTAAAGAAAGTTGTTGTGTTTATATATACGACTAAGTATAAAATGGTTTTTAGGTCATCCCCCTTTCTTATCTTTAGCGTCGAATTGGGTCGGTCGGTTGGATTGAAAAATCTTTTCTCTACTATACATTAAATTTATAGTATTCTTAGCTTCATCTGTATCACTTCTTCTATTTGTTATCATTTGTTTATACTATTTTTACATTTCAAATTTCTTTCCAATTACTACTTCAACGGTTTTTGTTTTAGCCTGCGAAAACTTTCCCCAGCGGCGAAGAGCGAGGATGAGAAACGGATGTTTTCGCAGGCTATTTGTGTTTTCAACGTTCACTTCTTTCACATTTTAATTTTCACGTGTTATTATAGTATCATATTGCACGCTAGCTATTCTTTATCTCAAATTGTAAAATCGAGTGACACACATGGGAATTTCGAGAGTGGAGCGAACTTCCGTCATGTGAGTCTTCTTCGCAGCCGCTTTGGCTGTAGTCACGCAACGGGGAGCGTGACTCCGGCTGCTCCTGGGGAGACTCCTATGTGAAAGGGGTGGGGATGCTCATCGTCTCACCTAGGGGTGTAAATTTCGGATTTTGGTCTCATCAGGAGCCGATGGTCTCATTTAGGGTGTTCTGGGCAAAACGCTATTATATTTAGCCGTAAAGGTCTCCTTGCACCCGAAGAAATATAAGATATTTAAGATATTTTCTCTCGGTATTACTCTGGCCCTAAGGAAGGCTAATTTTGTTAGCAGACATATTGGCCCATAATAAATCAACCCTTTGCCTTAGCCCTGCATTCAGTTTTGTTTTTACAAAAGATAGGCATCAGGGGGATCAAACACGAGAGGTCCGAAGCTGATATTGTTTTTCATAACAATTTTTCGGCTGGCCATACCAGCCCTCTTCAGGTTTACAGATGTTACTGAACTTATGTAGCAATCACAATATTATATAGATGGAGAATGTCGCGATAAAAATTGTTTAAAAGGGAGAGGCGGAAATGACGTACAACAAAAAAAGCTGGAAAAGAAAAAAATAATAAGGATATGGATTACTCAATAATTCATCACGTTTAGGCCATTAAGTTCAAGAGTCATGACTGCGACTCCCTAGCGTTACGAACTGAGTCACGTGAAGAATGAGTTTTTTGTAGTACTAGTGCGATTAACTGCATGTCAGTACGAGAATGGTTAGAGTGACTGAGAGAAAGTGTTCTCATACTGACATGCTGCATGCAGTTAATCCCACTAGAGAAAATTTCGTGACTCTTCAACCTAATGGCCTAAGCCGCCGTGACGAATTATTATAATCCATATCCTTCTTCGAGAGCTTTTTATGTTGTACATCATTTTCGCCTCTCCCTTTTAAACAATTACCTATATGATCTTGTGATTCTTTTCATAAATTCAGTAGTATATGTATCATGAGAGGTTGGGGTGGTATCCGTTTCACGCCTTAGCTTTTTAGTTTCTGGTAGCCCGCGTTTAAAAATTGTTGGAACATTGGCTTTTATAATTGTTTTCATATCACTGTTTGGGCTTCAAAGAAGTCTTCAGAAAAATGAGCGCTGTAAGGTCTAGTTGAATTCGTAGACCTGGCAAGTGTTTTTCACAGCGTTCGTCCAAAGCCTGGCATATCGAGGGTCATCGGGCCAGTGATAGACTATCTCCGTCTTTAATTGTGAGTGTTAAAACATTCAACAGCAATGCAGCGGTGTGGCATTGTTAATTTCTTCCTGAAATATCAGCCATAAAATCCTTTATTGACTGTTCAAAACAGACCGGAAACCTAGAAGCCACGTTGTATTGCCTTGAGACCGGATCTTCTTTCAACGTTATTTCCGGTTTCTAGCTGTAGCGCAAAATTTTAATTGCGTGACGAACAACTTTCCTCATTTTCATGATCAGGCAAATGCAGAAAAATTGGACATTTTGTTTTATCAAAATATTTCATTGTATACGTTAAAAATAGAAATAGAAACAGTTCAATGTTCGTTCCTTGGGTTCAGACCTTCTGGTGACAGGGTTTTGCCTCTATCTATGAGGTACGCTTCTCAGTCCTGCCTTACGGCGTGACATGCTGAGAGTGGGTTGTAATTCCAGCGGAATAAGTTCCATGTCTGCGATCCGAGTGGCCAGGTTGCCGATTAAAGTGAGATGGGACTCTTGTTGTGGCGTTTGCGTGGAGTGGATTGTTTGTTGCCTGTCTATGTTCTTTAAAGCGTTCACGAAGTGTGCGTTTAGTTTCACCTATTTATTTATTTATTTATTTTTACATCTTTTACCATCGCCATAACCAGTTACTGATGATCAAATTTGGAAGAATTTTGTGCTTAACGAGGAAATGACGTCAAAAATGCAGCCCTCTACAGGTTAATGCACCGTTAACTGAGGAGACCTGGGGACGAGGTTGAGTAGTTGTCGTTGTCAAAACTAAAATGGCGGACACTTCACTCGTTTCAAGAGTAAGACTTGGCAAAATAATTGCTAAAAACACAGCAAAAACAGCAAGACGACAACTCGGAGGGCGGCATCTGCTATTTGGAGATTATTTTCGGAGCTAGAAAAACCTAAATTTACACTATCGAAGATAAACTTAACATCGTATCGATGCAGGTAAGCATGTTTTCGTCTGTTTTAGCTATGTTTTTAAACTAGGAATTATTTTGAATTCTTTCGGCCTCGGTGGATAACACCCTCCCCGACCTGCTTAATTCTTCATATCCTAATCAGCCTCATTCATTAATTGCTAATTAGAAAATGAATTACAAAAGATATAGGAAAAGTAGAAAAAAGAAGTGGCAAGGAGACCTTACTGAAACTAGCTTATGAGAGGTTAGGCCTCCTCGAACTACGGGCACAGTAGAGTTGTTTTCATCAACTGAAATTAAAGCTGAAGATGGCGAAAAGTCGAAGATGGAAAGATTTTTGATCGATTTTCATAGTCACTTAATAATTAAATCTCCAGTATTTTCTTAAAGGAGGAAAGGGATTGAGAGTTATAAATTAAAACAAATGTGATCGCTTTGAATTGCAAGATATTTATTTCAGTTTCGACGCATGCGTACAGAGACAACAAAAAATTGAAGGGTTATTTAGTGTTAAACTTTCTACAGAGACGTATTGCTCTCCTCTGGCTGTATAAGTTCAAAAGTTTTCTAATCAATACATTTGCTTTTCTATTAACATTTTTATTGCTGTAACGGTCAGGCTAGATTGGAGCCCTTAGTGCAACCCAGAACAGCTGCAAAATCTTCACCAGCAGTAGAAGCGCATTGTTCCACGGACTGAAGCCAACTTCGATACTAAATAAAAACAGAAAAAATCAAGCAAATTTTTAAAGCACTTCGACGACACTAGCAACCTTAACTTAGGCAGTGTCCGGCGTTTTACAGTCTTTTAAAGTCTTAACGTTTGTTCATTTTTAACTTTCTTTCTTTCTGTGACTTTAAATTACTTTCAAGTTAATAACCTTTTAAAGCGTTTGGCTATGATCTTCAAACATCGGCGTATTTTTTTCCCGACTTTTATACAGCTCACTGTATATGTATTGTAATAGCTTGATGGGGAAGGCTTAATTTTCCGTTTGTGAGTTTGACTTACATTTTTAACACCCATTGCAAATCTTACACTACAGATACCATTCAAGAGCCATAATGGGAATACAAGAGCCATAAGATACCATTTTAACGTTTTGCATCATTTTTGATCCCAAAATAAGTTATTTTCTTTGACGTCAGTGGACGGTGACAGATAAGCTGTCTGCCTTCTCTCCTCCTCTCAGGCTGAGCAACTAGAAAGGCGAAACAGAGCGAAAAAGGAAATATGGTTGGACAACAAGTAAACGCACCGTGGGCAAGCAGCGATAGTAGACATCCTTAAAGCAGTCACTTATTCCTTTTTCTGGATTCTGTTTACATCTGAGAAAGTAAGGTTTACAAATCTGCAATTTAAATATCAAAATATTTAAACACAATATTATATTTATTCCCAACATCATTATAACTATAATTAATAGTTCATAATTAGTTTTATTTGCAAACCCCACCGAAAGGAAACGGATGACTGAGATGAAATTATGAAGACATAGAAATCATTTATAATAGAACTAAAGATTGAAATGAAAGAAGATCATCGCAGTGCAGAGACGCAACTTTTCCAGTTGTGAAAAAAAATCT